ACTTTTATTAATTAAAAAATATTAAGTGTAGATATGCCAATTCTCTATCGATAGGTATTAATAACTTAGGGTATGCGGAAACACTTTATTAGAGCGAAAACGCTCTCAAAAAAAGGGTCAAAAAATAAATTTTTATAATTCTTTTGATGTCCCACACTGTAATTACATAATAAATAATTAATAATAATAATAAATAAATAAATAAAGAGAAAATATTTCACAAAATAAAAAAGACAGGCAACACGGCGTCTTGCCTGTATTATTATTATTTTATATGCGATTTATTATTCACTAATACTACTGCATTACCATTCCCCCTGATATACCTTCCCATCCATCACATTCATTCATCCATCCATCAGCATCCATCAGCATCACATCCATCAGCATTCAACGACGACGACGACGACGGAGGAGCAGCTTGCTTGCTTGCCTGCTATAGAAAGGGAAAACTACCTAGAAGGATTAGATAGAGTATAGAGAGAGAGAGAGAGAGAGGACTCGTCATAGACCTTGGGATAGCGCGTGTGTCTTTCAATAGACTAGAAGGACAACCATGAACAACCAACAACAGCAACAACATCAGCAGCAGCAGCAGCAGCAGCAGCCTTACGGTTATGGCTCAAATAACACCTCTATGCGTCAATACGGCATGAACAATAACAATAACAACAACAACAACAACTCTTCCTCTTCTTCCTCCTCATCCTACGACGACTATCTCGACGACACTTACTACTCCAACAACTCAAACTCCATCTCCAACAACAACAATAACAGTAACAACAACAACAGCAACAGGTACCAACCCGCCCCTCCCTCTGTCGTGCGTCAACCCCAACCCTACACCGCCTTCTCCTCCCCACCTCCAAGACCCGTCCACCAACTCTCACAACTCCCTTCACACCAACAATACTCTCCAACCTCCCCAACCTTCCCCCCGGCCTCTGCCTACCCAGGCTCAAACCCTCAAACCTCCTCATCCTCCTCCCACTCCTCCTCAAACTCCCGCTACCCTTACAACCCTCAACACTCCCCAATGCCCCGCTCCGCCGCCACCACCACCTCCTCTGCAACCCTCCACCACATCACCGATCTCACCTCCATGCCCGCCTCCTCCCCATACGCTGAAGCCATCGCCATGCGCAACCTCCCCCAAAACAACACCTTTGACCTCCCCCCCATCTCTCCCACCTCCTACGCCCCCTCCACCGCAGCATCCGAGGACTCTCGTGCCGGTGGTCGTCCGCTTACAGTCGTCAGAAATCTGTCGTGCAGCAGGAGAAGTTGAGGCAGCTTCGTTTACAGGCCTTGGAAAATCAGATTCATCGGAATAAATGGGTGCCAGAGGAAGGTGAGGAGGCGAGAGGAGGCATGGGAAGGGATTCGACAGCCGTAGAGGAGGCAAAGAGGGAGGAGATGGCAGCGTTGCCGCCCGTTGCGCCAAAGAAACCGTCTGATGTCACGTTGGATATGGTTTTGCAGGATAGATTGAAATGGCCTCTTGGGTACAGTTTTTTTGGTTTTTTTTTTCTTTCTTTCTTTTCTTTGGTTTGTTTGTGTAGTTGTTTGTTTATTTTTTGTTTGTTTTCTATGGTTTTGGCTTTTGGTCAAAGTATATTTTCTTTTGGTTTCTAACCTCTATCCTTTTCCATATATATATATTATAGGTTTAGTGACTTTTTGTTCCATTTGGAAGAAAAGGGTGGGAAGGGAGCGACCAACTGTTTTGCCTTTTTCGTCGCCATTGATCAGTAAGTTTGAAACTCTTAATCTACACCATTCTTTCTTTTTAATTCTCTTTTGGTCACCTCTCTCTTACATACACCATAATCCTATCAAAACTAACCATCTCAACATTAAAAAAAAAAAAAACATAGATACCGCGATCTCTACGAAGAATACCGCCGTCACGAAAACCAACAACAATTCCTTCCCTCCAACGTCCGCTCCCCCAAACCCTCCCCCTCCCAACCCCCGCTCCACCAATTCAACCACGGCCGCAACCCCCCCTCCCGCTCCCGTCCCCTCTCCCCAACCGACTCTCTCCCCCTCTCCACGCCATCCCCAAACCTCAACGACACCGAAACCCCCCTCCTCTCTCGAGGCGAACTCATGGACGAATTCTCCAACCTCTGCGTTCAATTCCTCTTTAAAGATTCTGACCAAACCATCCAAATCACGGAAAGCGAGCGTCACCATTTCCTCACCAAAGCCGCTGACTTTATCCGCGTCACCGCCGTTAAATCCCCTAGCGCTCTCACAAGGGAACCCCCTCATCCATGTATTTTCGATTCCGTCGTTGCCGACCTCCGTTCCAACTCTCTCCAAACCAACCTCACCGTCTTCCTCAACACTGCCTTTGAAGTCAACGCCTCTCACCAACGTGCGCGCAATTTCCTCCGGTTTGGATGGTTCGCCTTGATTCTTTCCCTTGTGATTGCGCTTCTCCTTATTGTTGTGTTTCAAAACGCCTCACCTTATGCGAGGCTTCCGCTGTTTATGCCCGTGTCATGGTCTGTGGCGTGTTTTTGGCAACATCGGTTTAGGTTTTGTGGGGAGAATGCGTTTAAGAATTTGGCGGATTTTGTGGTCAGTGATGGACGTGGGGGACGGAAGGTGGTGACGAGACCTGTGGTGGAACCTTGTGTGAGGAATGCGATGAGTCGGAAGTTGGGGTGGATGGTGGCGGTGTCGACGGCTTTTGGGATGGTGGTGAGTGTGGGGTTGTTTTTTGTGCCAAAGTTGGGGTTTACGGTTGTGCCGTGAGGGGGGGGGGGAAGGCGCGTGGGGGTGGATGACGGCTTTTGGGGATGTGAGTGTGGGGGGTTGGTTTTTTTTTGGGGGGCCTGGTAGGGTTTGCGGTTGTGTCGTGAAGAGAAGAAAATAGATGGGTGGGCGATGTTGGGTGAAAACCTTAGGCAGGAGGGGTATGATTTATATTCTTTCTTTTAATTTTGATGTGTTTTCTTTTTCGCCTCCTCTTTATCTTTTCTTTTTTTTTTTGGGAGAAGGTTTTTAGATAATGTCGTTTTTCTTTTGGGGATAATGTTTTTGATTGCCTATTGTTTTTTTTTCTCTGGATAATGTCTTTTTTTTTGGGTACCGTCTTGATCCTCTTTTTTCTTTCAAATCATGTTTTGCCATTCTTTCCTTGTTGTTTTTTTTTTTTTCTTTTTTTTTTTTTCGGAGGATGCCCCTCTTTTTCGTTTTCTTTTGTGTGCCGGAACCATTTTTACACATTTCCCGCAAGGATGGATTGCGCTCCCCCTTTTTTTTTTGTTACGTCGTTTTATTTGTGTTTTTTTTAAACACCAAGTTGTTTTGTCTTTTCCCCATCATTTTGCGAGACCGTTGCTCCTTTTTTTTTTTCTTTTTCGGTTGTTGTGCTTTTCCCGGTTTCCGGTTTCCCCCCCATTCCCAATGTTTTTTCGTTGCTGTTTTTCAAGTCTGTTTAGAACGTTGTTTTTTTTTTCTGCTCGTTTTTTCTCGGTTTTAACCCTTTTGTTTCTTTTTTTTTTTGCTGGTGTTTTTTTTGCGGTTCGTTGTCACCCTCATATTGCCTTTTTTGGGGGGGTGTGTTCTTTGGGTTCCGATTTGGCTTATATTTTGGGTAAAGTTTGGAGTGTTTTGAGAATGGAGTGTTTTGAGAATAAAGGAGTATAGAAAGATGTGGAGGTGCTTTTGTGGGTGAGGTGAGGATAATACAGAAAGATGTGTTTGTGGTTGTGGAGGGTTTTTTGGTGTAAAGAGTTTTTATAAGAATGGACGTTGTTGTTGGGTTGGTTGGTGGTTGGTTGGTGGTTGGTTGGTGAGGAATAATAAGAATGATGAGAATGTAGACGTGTATGTTTTATGGTAACGCGTTCATGGGGTTCATGGGGGTTGTTATACCATGACATGATTATGGAAGACGTGATGTTGAACCCTTCGTCATCTTTATTATTTGGGGGGAACGGGGGGAGTGCACGAAAAGGTTGTGAAGGGTTTTTTGGTGCAAAGAGTTATATATTGTTGTTGGGGTTATCGTGGTTGGTTGGTGGATGTTGGTGAGGAATAAAAAGAAATGATGAGAATGTTATCGTGTATGTTTTATGGTAACGCGTTCATGGGTTCATAGGGGTTGTTATACCATGACATGATTATGGAGGACGTGATGTTTAAAACCTTTGTCATCTTTATTTTTTGGGGGAATGGGGGAATGCACGAAAAGGTTGTGAAGGGTTTTTGGTGCAAAGAGTTATATATTGTTGTTGGGGTTATCGTGGTTGGTTGGTGGATGTTGGTGAGGAATAAAAAGAATGATGAGAATGTAGACGTGTATGTTTTATGTAAGCGTTCATGGGGTTCATGGGGGTTGTTATACCATGAAATGATTATGGAAGACGTGATGTTGAACCCTTTGTCATCTTTATTATTTGGGGGAATGGGGGTGCACGAAAAAGTTTAAAAAGGAAGGGACCGTCATTCCCATGAGGTCTAGACGTTTTGGGCGCGTCCATCACACAGCATACATCTTCCAACCGCCTGCCAACCTTTTGATGAGGAAGCATGTTTTTTGGGGGGGGGCACCATTTGTCGCGCCATTTTCGTGGAATTGTATGGTTATTGCGGATCACACCATTCCTTTTCAACGCGGCCCGCCTTCCTGGCAAACCCTCTTGCTTTGAAAGACAGCGCTAAAGTGGGAATGTTAAAAATGAACGGATAATATTTTATTTCCCTAAAAAAAATGTAGGTCAACATTTTTTTTTGGTTTCGTTTAGTATTGCGTGGGTTTTGTTTTTTTTCTTTGTCACCCCTTGAATCTCGTTTCCCACATTACTTCGTGTTTGCTGGGTATGATTGATGGCTATGGCAGCATGCAAAAAGGAAGTGAGACAGTACAAAAAGTGAACCCCAAAGAATGCAGAACAGACAAAGTGTGGTAGACTTTGTGAATTGCTTTGACAATGGAATCAGTGAAGTCTTGAATGGAAAAAAGATAAAACCACAGAGTACGCCTCGACAGGGGATCGAACCCTGGACATCGAGCTTACTAGGCCTCAATAGAGTCTGTAAAAGGCTCGCGCTCTACCGAACTGAGCTATCGAGGCGGAAGGTGATACGAACGATTTTTGAAGATTGAATATATTCAATTAAAACTTCTTGAAGTTTGGGAAGGTGTGTGCAGGGAGGGTTTGGGTGTACTGTAAAAAGAATTAACGCGCTTGAAATGTGATAAACGCTATCAACTGTAAATGAATGTACAGTCGGAGAGTTGTTTCGGGGAAAACATCAACCCCCCCTCCCCAATGCAGGGAGGCATGTACAGTCGGAGAGTTGTTTCGGGGAAAACATCAACCCCCCCACCCCAATGCAGGGAGGCATGGTGGTATTTAAAACGAAAATATCAAAAAAAACAAACTTGACAATCCCCATCAAAACAAGAAAAACACGTCCCATGTCTTCCCCACCCCCCGCATCCCTCCACACCCTCCCCCCCGAACTCCTCCCCAAGATCCTCTCCAACCTCCCACCCTCCACAACTCCCACCTCCTCCAAACCTCGAAACATTTTTTTCGCACGCACTGTATCGAGCGTATGGGCTCGACCGAGGATTGGGGCGCTTGTAGGGGGAAGTGCTTGGACGGGGTTTTTGGATGCGGTGGTGAGGGATCGGGTGTATAGGGAGTGTGTGAAGGAGGTGGAGGATGTTTGGTTGGTGGTTGGAGGGGAGGATGAGTGTGATGGGGGGGAGTGAGGAAGAGGAGGGGGGGATGGTGGAGCTGAGGATGTGGAGAGGGTTGAGGGGGGATGGAAAATGAATGCGGAGGATATGAAGGATATTGATGGTGGAGGGAATGCTGGGGAGATTGAGGGGATTTCGGAAAGGAATGTTGGGGAAATGAACGAGATCAAAGGAATTTCTTTAGTCATTGAGGATCTGAAGGAGATTGATGTTAAAGAGCTCAAAGAGATTGATGGGATTGCTGAAAAGGTTGCTGACCATATGAAAGAGAGGGAAGCATTAGAATCAACTGAGCACGAACCGATATCTGACGTCAAGGACGTGAAAGAGATGAATCCCCACCAAGAAGCCCTCCCAGACCAAGGTGAAGACGATCAAGGGGCTAAAACCGAAGCAAAGGGGATTCATCACCATTATCTTGATCGTCAAGACTCGAAACTCCCGGATGAGGAGGAAGTACTGATTAGGGGGCTTGCGGAACGGTATGGGGAGTTGAGGGATCCGAGGGCGTTTGTGGGTGGAGAAGTCAAAGTGGGAGGGGGGATGCGGAGAAACTGGAGGGACGGTCGTAGAGGACGGGGAGCGTGGAGAGACTAGAGTAGTTGGTGATATGCAGGAAGTTATGGGTGCTGAGAAAAATAAGGAGAAGGTGATCGCCGATGGGGAGTGTGGAGAGACGGGAGAAGTTGTAGAAGAAGAATGCGGATGAGAAGGAAGAGACGGTAGGTGGGGAAGGAGAGGGGGGAGTGGTTCAACGAGCGGATGGAAAAAGAGGAAGAAATCATTGAAGAAAACAAAAAGGAGGAAAAAGAGTGTGAAGAATTGCAGGACAGGCCAGGGCTGGAACTAAATGAAGCAGTGCGTCAAGAAGTCATTCATCCAGAACCTATCCCACTCCACCCCCTCCGGCCATTAACCAAAAAGAAATACAACCGTGACCACCATGTCCTCCCCAACACCCTCCCTTACCTCCTCGAACACCCAAAAAACTCTCTTCACTACGGTCTCGTCCTTCTTTTAACTCATTGCCCCTACCTCACCCATCTCCGTCTCCACCTCCCCATCCCGTCACTCGTCACCCTCCCCCCACTCCCAGCCTCCCTCCGCTCCCTCGACATCTACCAAAAGGTCTCCTCAACCTCCTTCACCCATTTATTCGCAACGCCAATGTCGTTGACGCGTCTGGTGTTACGGAAATGCGAGGTTCGCGATGAGGATATTGAAAAGATGAAGCGGAATGTTGGGGATTTGAAGGTGTTGTGGTTGCCTGCAAGTAAGGTTGTTACGACGAGACGGGTATGGGCGGCCCCACCCTCCCCAACGCATAGGTCGATTGCGGGGTGGGTATGGGATTTGAGGGGGACGTTGACAAAGTTGGATGTATCATGTGTAGGCGGGAGGATGAGAGTGCAGGCAAGAGAATGCTTGAGGTGATAAGCGAGTGTAAAGAGTTGCGTCATGTGGTGATTGCGTTGTGTATGAAGGGAGGGGTTGATTTAAAGGGGATTGGGAGGAGCATTGAAAAGTGTTGGAGGACTTTGAGGGTGTTGGTTGTGAGACCTTTAATGGGAGGGAAGGCGATGGGGGATTCGACGGTGGATGAGGAGGATGTGGTGAGGGTTTTAGCGGGTATGGTGGAGACTGCTGCTTGTTTTAAGGAGGGGAGGGAGGTTGAAAGGAGGGAGGATGGGGAGGTGTGGGAGTGGAGAGGGGTGAAGGGGGATGATCCTGTTGAACATGGGGAAGAGAGGATGAGAGTTGCGATGGGTGGGAAGGGGTGGGGGAATTGCAGAGAAAGATGAAGGGTATAAGGGAGGAAGAAAGGAGGAAAGTGAAGGCGGGATTTTGGGGGGTGACGCGAAAGGAGGAGAACGAGGAGGAAGGAGGTGAAGAGGATAAGGGTCATGAAATAGTGAAGGTGAGTCATGGGGATGGAGTAGCAGAAATGAAGGAGGAGGAAGGGTTTAGAATGACGAGCGTTGTGCTTGAGGGACTTGATTTCGTGGGTGGTGGAAGGGGTTTGAGGTTTTATTTTGGGGTGATGGGAGACCCTTGGCGGGTGGAGACGATGATTGAGAGGTTTAGACAGTTGTATAAGGGAGTTGATCTGTGTGTGAGGAATGCGCGTTGATGGAATGACGCGTAGAGTGTGATGCTGTGGGTGTGATGGTGTCTATCAACGTAACTCCCTTTGACGTCAGAATACTCGGACCGGGATGGGGTTGGGGGGGGGGGGTGCTGTAAAACAAACAAACAAAATTTGTTTTTGTTTTGATGAGCCAATGAGAAGAGGGAGAGTTTAAGGGGGTCTTTGAATAATTACAGCATCAATTAAGAGAGGCTTTTTTACAGGTTTTTATTATTATATTGAATATAAATAAATAAAAGGGGTGTTTTGGTTTGGGAAGACTGTTTATCACTGCTACATTTTATTTGTTAAAAGTAAATAAAGCAGACGGTCTCCTGCGAGTCGATACACACTCACACTCACACTCACTCCACTCACTCACTCACCCCTTCAATCAAAACCCTTCATTTACTACTATATACGTACTGAGATACTCACAAACAAAACAGAGAGATGTCCCCACCTCCTCCTTCAGGATCATCATCATCATCATCAACGACCTCAAGGTCTCACCTCCCTGCAACTGTCCGTTCAAGGCGATCGTCGTCAACCATGCAGCAGCATGCGAAACCCACCTCTCCTGCCATCATCTCTACACCCTGGCCATGCCCCCCAACCGCCATCCTCTCGCTCACACAAATTTTCGCCCACTTCGCCTCTACCTCCATCATGACATTGCTGGTGCTCTTCTCCTTCTTTGAAGATTTCAAGAAATGGTTGAAAGGCGCTCCCGCTCCATCTCCCGTCACCACCTCCTCCATTAAACCAATGAAAAGTCAAGGGTAACGGCTATCAAGAAGACTTCTCTAAGGGTCAGAAAGTCGGGCTCAGAGGAAGAGGAAGAGGATGGGTCTTCGACCGCTATTGATTCCTCGGATGATCGAGAGGACTCGGATAATGGGGTGGAGAGTGTAGGAAAGAAAACGGGTAGTGCGTCAATGCTCTCAGCTTTCATCCCGAAATCGTTGAGGACGAGGAGAGTGAGTGAGCCGTCCCAGGACGAGGCATTGTTTTTCGCTACAAGGAGGACCACCATGGACGTGTGAGTAGCTCTTGTTTTTTTTCATACCATCAATCTGCAACACTGAATGAGACATATTTGTTCTTTACGGTCCCGAAACTGACGATTTCTTCCTCCCTTACCTCCTACAACGATGACGTCAAAACAACAAACAGTCGAGACTACTGCGCTCATGCCGGTTACTGCTGCGACACCTTTGAGACCATCACGAAGATGGCTTCATCCTCTTCATCCACAGAGTCGCTTCGCACGATCGCAAGCCTGCACGTGAGCTCTAAATGAAATGTCAACCTACCTTTTTTCTAACCTTGTTTAAAACAGGTAAAGGACCTATCATTCTCATGCACGGTCTTTTCCAGAGCAGCGGTGTTTGGGTCACGAATGGAATGCACTCTCTCGCGTTTTACCTTGTTGACCAAGGATTCGATGTTTGGATGGGCAACGTGAGTTTACCTGTGATATATACACACCTGCTTCTTTTTTATCTAACACCTTTTCTATCATACAAACAGAACCGTACCTGCATTGAACAACACGTCAACCTCAAACCCAGCGACACGGAATTCTGGAACTGGTCTCTCGACGAACTCGCTCGCTATGATTTCCCCGCAACCCTGGACCTTGTACGTCGTGAAACGGCTACGACAAGGTCGTCTTTGTGGGTCATTCTCAAGGAAACGCTCAAGCCTTCCCTCTCCATGATGCAGAACCCCGCCGTGTCGGCCAAGATCTCGCTGTTTGTCGCGTTGGCTCCTGCGGTTTACATTGGATCGTTGCTAGAGACTTTCCCTGTGTGTCTATTGATGGATTGTCCGGCGGATCTGTTTAGAGTGTTGTTTGGAGTGAAAGCCTTTTTGCCGATTATGACGTTTGTGCAGGTTGGTATCATGGACATCTATTATTGGGTTTTCTTGCTATGATCTAACTTTCAACAACTATTTTTTTTAGAAATTCTTCCCTCCCTACTTGTTTGCCACTCTTGCCTACCATATGTTCCACTACCTCTTTGGATGGTAAGTCATAGTCTTTTCTTCACTTATGTGTTTGGCACCAAGTTTTTATCTTTCACCCTAATTTTAACCTCTATCCGTTTCCAGGACCGACACCAACTGGGACCCCCGCAACAAATCCAGCTACTTCCAATTCACCCCTCGTCCCCAATCCTCAAAAGCCATCCACCACTGTCCCAAATGGGTTCCTCTGGAGTCATCAAACC